AATTTTTTGATCAAGGCTATTTGGAGTCCTATATGCCTCACTTACATGTATGTCACATTCTTTTCCTCTTCTTGGGAAGTTTTCTGCCAGTACCTCTGTGAACAGTTTTTTTTTTATGTCATCTGCACTTTCTTGTGTTTCTTCATTGACCCTGATCAGTCTGTTGTTATTCTTCTTTGCATCATCTATCAGCTGCTGGATTGATTTCTTGTGGTCCCTAATAATTTTTAAGCGATTTTTCTTTTCCTCATCACTAATTGCAATCTTATCTTCTATATCTGAAATATTGTCCTCACATTGGCTCATTCTGCTGTGTAGACTTTCAGTGGAGTTTTTAGTCTCTTGGAAATCTGTTTGCATCTGTGTTATGGATTCCATTTGTTTCCTATGTTGGGATTCCATTATGTTTCTCAGCTCCTCTCTAGATTTATTAATCATGTCTTGCACTATGAGCACAATCTCTGCTATTATCTGAGAAATTATTTATGATTTCATTTTTTCCAGATCCTCTTTTGTTGCCAGTTCAGGGAATCCAGGTGGTTGAGTATCAGAGTGTTCTATCTCATTTCCCTTTGGGGTTGCTGTAGGTGATGTGGAAGTCTGGTTTTGAGACTTATTTACATGTCTTCTCATTTTGACGGGGTGGGGGGGGTTGTGTGTGTTGCTGGTGATTGCATGGCTCACCTCCTCTGGGCTGGGAGCGGTGGAATGGTGTCCTGGAAGCCTCTTCCTCTGCGCTTTGAAATAACAAAACTGAGTGTCCATAGCAACTCCTTATTTGATTTCTTTAAGTAAATAATTATCTTGAAAGATGAATCTCTGGCTGAACTTGGTCGTTGTTGGTTCTGGTTCTGGTTCAGTGTCTGAGCCTCTCCTTTCAGGTCTGCCCACCACAATCAGGGATTTTATTTAACCCTGGTGGACACTCTTCACATCTGTGTTATTATTAGCACTGCGATCAGGCTGAATTTAGACTCGCGTTCCTACTGTACCTATCCTGCTCTGAAGGACCCTGGGTTGTCTCCCTCCTCTCTTTCTTTCCTCCTCCCTCACAGCACAGACTCTTGAACCATGTATTAACATATTTCTCAGGCACATTTTCCCATGCTATTTATTTGTTTTATAAATTATAACAGAGGCACAGAAGTAGGAAAGGCTTGTAATACTTACATGTACCACTGCTTCACCCCATCTCTGGAATCGTAAGTGTGTTTATAGGTAATAGTTGAAAGAATATTGAGGAGATGATAAAGCTGTCAGTGAATGTTACAGGAATGAAAAGCCTCAATTGCCTTGCACAGATTGTTAGTAGAGATGAAGGTAATAAGAATTCTGGTAGTGACAACATACAATGAAGTGAGGCACATGATAGAGAAAATGTATATTGTCTTAGAGAATAAGTACATAATCACAAATAGACTTTTAGTAGACATATGAATGTTAAAAGTTTCTATTATATATACTACATATAATAACGTGGGAGGAAAGAAATAAATTGAGAAAATAACAGGCAAAAAGGAAGCAGGGCTTCATGATTTGAGAAATTCTCAGCCCGTTAAGGGTACAAAAGATTTGGGGCTGGGTATTTAGTTCAGTGGTGCTGCTGCCTGCCTCGCAAGTGCAAGGTCCTGAGTTCGATCCCCAGCACCAAAAAAAAGTACAAAAGATTTTATAATTAGGGAATTTAATATTGGGAAAGTAGTGAATTTTTTTTCTCATAAAGAAAGCCAGTGAGATAGCTGGATAGTCTTTCATGATAGTCTCTGAAGGATTCAAATGTCAGAGTATTCAGTGACACAGAAGGCTCATTACATATATCAGTGTGAAGCACATTCACTGTGCCCTAGTTACCAACTTGTCTGAGTCTGGCAAGAACACATTCATATTCAACAAGTTTCACGAAGTAACTTCATTACTTACAGATAGGCAGCAAGTGACAACAGAAGCCTGAGTGATTGTAAGCCAAATGTCCAAGGCTCTAAAAGCTGCCTAGGGTAGATGAGGTCTTCAACCACACAAGCCCCATTTGTCCCATAGATATAGGACACTGGAAAGCAGCCTTCCCTGGCTCTGAAATAGCCTTCCCTGGAACTGAAACATATCCCAAGTTATTTGGGCCAGTCCTTCCCTATCTCAGGATGTTACATTCCCAGTAAACTGTACAGTTGGTTTTGAGAAGTACAAATGAAAAGGAGCAGTGGCTAGAAGAAACCAGATCAGCTCAAAGCCACTTGGAGAATTGTCCTGCAGCCAGGGAGTATGACTCATCAGTTCCTTCACTAAGAGGGGCAGAATCCCAAAATAAAGATGAAAAGATCTAGTAAAGGTTAGTGGAGCAGCATTTTCGTCTAGTGAAATACATTATCATGACATACAGAAGAGGTACACAGGCACCTGATAAAACAGCAGAGAGAAACTCTATCAGTTTTGAGTCAAAGGAGCAGAGAGAGGATGACAAGAAAGAGGCTGTTTGACTCCTAAACTTTTACCAGTAGGAAATAGGCTGATAAACTTCTCAGCACACAAATGCTCCTCTTTGTGAAAAATGAAGGATAACTTTGAGAGTGATCTCTAAATCCAGAGTGAAGAGCTTTACCCACAGAAGATTAATTTTGGTCTTCGAATTAAAGCCTAGTTTTGTTTCTTCAGTTGTCAAAATTTCTTGGAATTAGCAACTCTTTTTTTCCCTTTCATTTTGTCCTCTTTGGATGATAACTGGTGTCTTAGTTACTTTTTGTGTTGATGAGACAAAATACTCAACACCTAAAGTTAAAGGAGGAAAGATTTATTTATTTCAATTCAGTTTGTAGAGGTTTCAGTCCATAGTCAGCTGGCTCCAAGGCATGGTGGCATGGCAGCAGGGCATTGCAGAGGAGAAACAGTCCATTGTGTAGTAAGCAGAAGGCATTGATCTGCAAGCCTCTCTTTCACTTTTACACCATCCAGAATACAAGCCTTGTGGGTGGTGTCACCCACATCCAGGGTGGAGCTTCCCATTTCCTGCACCCAGAATTATGATAAGCCAATTAGTAGACTAGTTCAGTACACATACCCTTAATCATAGTATCACACCCTTAATCCACATTCACATACCGTAGATCCAACCACCTCCCAAAAGCTTCACCTATGACTGCATGAGGTTTTGGGGAAAATCTAGATACAAGCCATAACAACTGGTATCCTATGCCTGTCCAACTATTGCTTTTGAGGAGCAGATAATTCCTTTCCTAGTTTCATATGTTCACAGATGGAGAGAAATTTGGAATGAAGACAAAGATAAATAGTAGAAGAAATAAGGCCCAAGAGGTCAGAGCTTCTGAACCTCTGGACTTTCTAGTATTTTATTGAACACAAAGCAACAATGGGGAGCTTGTGGTCAGGTATGTGGGGTGGTGATCAGAGGCACTGATGTGAATGAGGCCTAGAAAGAAGAGAACAAAGCATTCTTGCAAGAAGTGAATCTTAGGTTAATGGGAACTTGTTCTTCCTCTTAGATTAATGTTAACTTTTTATAGATGATGAACAAGAATCATGGAGTCTTCAGCTGCAGATGCTGTCAGCTAACACAGGAACCACAGTGTCACTGACCTGGGTTAGTCTTGGCCATGGCCAGTGGCATATAGAGTTCTCTTTCTGCATGTCAGCTGCAGCAATTAAGCTCTGCACTTAAGCCTTAGGCCTGCTCTGAATTACAAGTATAAGGTAATTGTATTAAGCCAATTGAATATAATCAAAGCCTTCTCAGCACCATTTTAAGGTGGTCTCCTTCAAGATGTACATGAATCTATGGGGTCTGGAGGGCAGATTTTGGTAGGCATCAGTGTCCTCCTAATAAGATCCATTTCCCAACACTTGAAACTTATAAACATACTTCCTTACATAGCAAAAGGGACTAGTATAAAGATTTTGAGAGGGTGAAATTATCATGGATTATATAGGTAGGCCCACCAGAGAAAGAAGATCAAGAAGACCAGAGAGTCACAGAAGAAGAGATGAAAGAAAAATCAGTGTAATGTGTTTGCCAGTGCAGAAGGGGACTTTGAGTCAAGGAATGCAGGCTGCCTCTAGAAGATGGAAAAAAAAAATTCTCCCCTGGAACCTTTGGCAGGAATACAGCTCTACCCATATCTGGATTTTACCTTAGTGAGATCCATTTTGGACTTCTGACCTCCACTATAAGATAATATTTTTGTGTTGTGTTAAACCATTAATTTGTAATAGTGTGTGATAGGAACAGTAAGGAACTAATGATGACTGAGGTTTCTTAAGTGCTGGAATTACAGGTATGCACCATTACATCCGGCTAGACCTTGTACTTTGCATTGAGGAATTCATAGCTTATCCCTTTTGTGAGCATCTATGTGAATGGCTTTTGTGTCTTGAATATAAGTATGCCAAAATGAATCTCCTCAGAGGAGGATATCTCAATGTAGTGTTATACTTGTACTCCTAGAGAAAGCTTGAAACACTCAAGGTCAAACTGGCAAAGATCATGGGTGATAGTAGTAGGGCTGTTCAAGTACCCCCTGTATAGCCAGTTAAAGATATGCTGTTTCCCTGCCAAGATGGCACCAAATCTTTGACTGCAAAGTATTTGCTCATAAATTCTTGGATAGAGTGAAATTTTAACGAGATTTGGTACAGAGGATTAATACATCATCTACCCTCAATACCTTTACTGCTGGAAGCATATGTATGTTGAGAGAGCATGAGGTGATTTTACTCATTTAATGAAGGCTTTTTAAAAGATCAGGTCAGACTTCCAAGCAAATTGGAAAATATCCTAAGAGAAGAAGAGGATGGCTAGCTTGTTTTTTCATTGTGGTGAGGGCTTGGGATGGGAGAACGTTCTCCTCTATTGACCTGGTTCTCTGGTTTGGATAAGTGTCTCCCAAAGGCCCATGTCTTAAAAGTTTGATCACCAGTCTATGGCACTGATGGGAGCTGGTGGAACCTTTAAGAGGTGGGGTCTAATAGAAGGAAGTTGGGTCATTGGGGGCATGCCTTTTGGAGGGGATATTGGCCCCCCCTTTTCTGCTCTTTGCTCCCTTGCCACCATGAGGTGAGCAGCATCCTCTCTGTATGTTCCTATCATGATATACTGATTCACCATAGGCCCTAAAGCAACTGGACTAATGGACCATGGATTGAAACCTGTGAAACCATGAGCCAAAATAAATCTTTCTTCCTTATAAGTTGATTCTCTCAGTTATTTTTGTTACAGTGACAGAAAACTGGCTTGCATGGTTTGAAAGTCCTACCAGGGCAAGAAGAGGGAGGATATGGAATTTTGTGCTAGTTTGCTCTGGTGAGGCACATAAGAGCAAGGGGGGAGATGGATCTTGAAACCTGTCAAGAATAAAACTTCAAAACTGGAGCCAGAGTTTATTACATATAGGTAATGGGGAAGGG